CAAGTTCTCGACATTGCATAAATCATTCTGGGTAATCGTTCTTCTCTGTTTGTCGTTGATTTCCATCTAGCTGTGTATTAGTCTGCATAAACTGGGACCAACAAACTTGACTCACAATAAAAGTTCTAACAATCTCCCCCTTTGTGATCAAGTGCCGTCTTGCTGGGTTTCTTCACTTCTGAGCTTTGTAATAATTCTTTCTGAGATTAAGTGCATGCTCATAGCTCCTGAGTGAATTTCTTCTATCAAGTTGCTTTTCGATGGCCTGTAGAATGTTGTCAATTCTGTGTTCCTCTTTTAATTCAGCATCTGTGGCATCTGCATACTTCTGCTGTCTTTCTTTAAACGCTTCTCTGATAGGTTGCAGCTTCTCTTTCACAATCTTCAGAGTTCCGTCACAGTACTTGTTAATTTCATCAATGAATAGCATGCGTTTCTCACCATTGTGATTCAGATAGATAAGCGTGATTGGACTATCAAAGATATAATACTCAGGAAAGTCCTCAAGTTCTTGTCCATACAGCTTCGGTCTTGTGAGATTTGTCTTTGGCATGTTTGTTTCAAGAGCGATCTGAAGATCATGAGAAGCAAAGAATTTGATTTGTCTGATCATAAAGCGCTTGAGTGCATCAAACCCATTTTGCTTGATCTTTTCTCGAGTCCCGGGAATTTCTTGAAATGCAAGATACATCTGATAGATGTCATCCATCTTTAGCATGTAGAGATCATTTTCTTTGCATGTGAATTCAGTTCCATCGGAGCGTTGTAGATGATAGACAGAGAGTTTGATATCTTGAATATTCGTCTCAGCTACATTGAGGATGGCCCAAACTGGATCCTTTGCACTTTGAAGTTCATGTTGCCACACCTCTCTCTGTTTCCCCATGTAATTATGGCTTAGCAGAAATAATTGTCCGCCCTTGTTGTTCCCTCGTAGATGATTAAGCCCACGGATTTTCAACTCATCCAGATCTTTGACTTTGTCTTCTCTTCGCCAGATATTCTTTCTGATTTCCTCTTGAAAGGGAGCATTGACATTCACGTTCTCCCAAGGCTTTTCACTTCTGGGCATCTGAGCCGCTGTCTGTCTGATTATAGATTCAAGCTCTTTGGGGGTTTTTTCATAGTCTTCTCCTTCCTTGAATTCATCTCTTTCAAGTAGAATTACGTCAGCAGCACAGTTAGCTAGGAGTTCCCGAAGATATGCTCTTCGCTGTATTTCATCTATATTCGTCCATAGCTCAGACCATTTGTTGTGCACCAGCATTTCCTCAAGTTCATCGTGCATTTGATCATTGTAGTAGCTAGAGGGAGCCTGCTGCTGCTGTGGCGACATATCGGGCGTAGCATCGGGATCCTGGTGAGACTTGCAGGGATCCTCAATTATCTCAACACGATGCTCTTGCGCAGAGACCAGACCTCTATACTTCGTTACATGCGGCCAATCCTCCCTTGGCTGAGAATGGGTGACTCCGGGATCCTCAGGATTGCCCGTTGTCATCAGTTTCGAACTAGGTTCTAGCTGATGGCCTGAGTAGGAAGATGTACTCGTGGTAGCATCATCAAGACTTCCATTCCATCCTTGGTCAACATCTATAGGAGATGCGCCTCGGAATGTTTTGTCTAGCTCGACCATGCTAGAAAGAGAGGCTAGGGACTTGTGGCTGGCTGAAGTAGTGGGTTGCTGATTGGTGGAGGTGGAGAGTTGGTTTGGCTTTGAGGGCTGGCTAGTAGAAGCAACATGCTCAAGTATCCGCTGACGCTTGTTCTCCCCCTCATGAGAATCCGAATCATCAAGATCCTCATGTGAACGTTTAGCGCCACGGAGACTGTCACGGCATGTGTTCTGAGTATCTAGAGCATGGAGAAGGGCTTTTTGAAGAGGGGTGAGGTTGCCTTCTTCCATGTCTAGTATACGGTCAAAGACCTCAGCTACAAGGTCCTCGAAGGGTATGGTTTTGAGATTGGGTTTGGTCGTTGTAGGGGAGGATACTAGTTCTGTATCTTGGGTTCCCCTTGAAGTGGATGGTTGTTGGTTTTCTATGGTTAGGGGTTTGGAAGTAGGAATGGAAATGGTTGGGGGCTGTGTTGTTTGGGGTTTGGGTGGTATATCCTGAACATCTGGGGTACTTGCAGAGCCTTGTGCATTAGCGGTTATTGCTTCATGCACCCATGGTTTAATGGTAGACTCTAGAAAGCTGTTCAGATATACGAGAATGTCTTCGGGAATAGTGGTACCAGTTACAGGGGTTGTAACTGTTGTCACAGCATCAGTGAAGATAGCTGACGTGTGGCCTGCGTTCAATGATCGAGGCATTGTTGACGTAGCAGGACTTCCGACCATCATAGTTTGCACTCCGGTCGTTGCGTTCAGGGTGAGTGCACCTGTATGTGCTGTGAAAAGTGTAGGTGTCCTAGAAAAATTTAAAAATGTAGGAATGGTGACACCTAGACTCGATGTGATAGAACGGATGGGGGTAGTGGTCCGGGGCTGTTGACCATTAAGTCTCTCAACTGATTCGGAGGGAACCAGCGAGGTCAGTATGAATTCCCCTTGCGTTATTGAAACTCCAGCCTGTTGGGAGGCTGGAGAGTGGCTGGGAGATGGCTGTGCATGCGCAGTTGAACCGGATGCTGCGACTTCTACCCGGGAACTGATAAGGTCAGCTCCTGCTCCTAGGGGTGTGGTTCGGTCTATAGTGAGGAAGGTGTCGCAGTCATCGTACAGTGCCAGCTCCTCTTCCACTGCACTCTTCTTTCTTAGCCTCTTCTTAAGCTTGGATGATGCAGATTTATCACTTCTCTGCTTGGAGCGCAGCTCACTAATAATGATCCCCTTGAGTGGTCGGGGTGTGAGAGCAGCCTCTATATCTTCTGATGAGGAGTCGGAGTCTATCCGGATGGCCTTCTTTCCGGCTCTCTTCCTGTTGCTGATCAGGACTCCCTCCATATCATCATCATTATCGTCTGCATCATCATCATCATCATCATCTCTTCGCTCATTTCCTTTGGCCATGCTATCGGAGGCCTCACCACCAACCTTATTAGAAGGGGCCTGGCTTGATGGTTCATCGGCAGTGTCCTCAGCATTGGTAGAGTGTCCCTCAGTAGTCTGGGTCCTCTCGGAAGAGTTAGCAGACTGATCATCATTAGGCCGGACTGCCACTGGTTTCTGTGGCTTGGGGGCACTCTTCTTTTTCTTATCCTCACTTGGCTTAGTTCCCTGGGAAGGTCCAACTGGGTTTTGCTGAACCATAGGAACTGTTCTTTTCAGCGACTCTTTGTAGTCAATGACTGCCTTATCCCTCGGGTTTGCAAGATTAAGCAGGGAGTCCGGAATAGGCAGTGCCTCGGACGTATTCTTGTCCTTCTGAAAGTACTTGAGCTTGGGAGCAGTGAAGTGCTTGTCTTCCTTACGCTTAGGGATTGCAGGTGTGGCTTCCATCATGTTGTGGATCATCAGCGCCAGCCACCGAGCGTAGGGGATGGTGCTTCCCTTGTTGTTCTCCTTCATCTTTACCTGGTCCAACAGCTCTGTCCAGAAGAGTTGGGCCATGTCATACTGCTTGTCAAACGCGATCCCGTGGAAGATTTGCAGGATCTGTTTGTTGCATTTGTCGTGTCCGGCGTGTTTAGGAGATAGGCACTTGTTGACCAGCCCGAACAAACTCTTCCACGAGTGGGGCAGGTTGGAGATGGTGAAATTTGACAGCAGAGGTAGTGGACTGTCATATCCGAGATCTTTCACCCCCTTAATCAGCTCTTCATCGGAAGGAAGTGGTGCATAATTCTTGAGCACTGGGAGCCTCAGTGTCTCCCTTATTGTGGAGGGTGTCAGCACCACTCTTACTTCATTCAGCTTAGTCATGATTCTTGAGCGATCCTTCTCACTGGGTGTCTGCATCAGACCCCAGAATTGTTGTAGATATACCTCTGGCACCGGTTTGGCTTCATTGAATGCAAACCAGAGGTAGTGCTTCTGTAGAATGGAGAGTATTACTAGATCCTGGCATTTGAACAGCTTTAGGTCCAGTTGGAAGTTGTTGTCATAAAGTGGGGGACCCATTTCTCCTTTGGGTACACCTCATTGCTTGATTGTGCATTTCTATTTGTTCCTGACATTGTTAACTGAAAGAATTGGGTCAGCACAGTTGTTCATTTGAAAATTTTATTTTTGTTCTGTTTTTGCAAATTTTCTGATCAGGTGTGTACTGGTGGGAACTCGAAAAATATACTAAGTGTAAACCACGAGAACCAGCTTCTCGAGATTTAAACATCGAGATGTAGGTTCTCGAGGTTTGAATACCGAGAAGCTCTTCTCGATACTCAAATATCGAGAACTTGGTTCTTGATATGAAAGTATCGAAAAGTCCTTTTTGATATCGAAACATAGAGAACCCTTTCTCGAGGTTTAATACCGAGAACCTGTTCTCGGTATTTCAAAGTTCGAGAAGTGAGTTCTCGGTATTAAACATCGAAAAGGCCCTTTTCGAGGTTTAATATCGAGAACTGAACCTCGAATTTTGAAATATCGAGAAGTTGATCTCGAGTTCTAATCATCGAGAAATTGAATTTCTCGAGTTCGCACTCAGAGTAATGTCGAGAACCACCTGCAAGAACCCAACAATAATGATAATCAAATTAAAACTTTTCGAATTCAAGTTTCCGGGTTCGAGAAAAAAATAGTTCTCGAGGTCCAACTTCGAGAAAAACTTTCTCGAGTGAGATTCGAGAACTCGTTTTGAAGTGCGAAAACCATTGTTATTGAGTTCTTCATGATTGAACTCCATTATTTCTACCTTTTGAACGGATTCGAGAAGATTGAGTTCGAGAAAGGGAGTGTTTGCGAGAAAGCCTGAGATCTGGACTTCGAGAATTGAGAATACGAGAAAATGAGTTCTCTAGTTCTCGAGGTCCCTTTTATATGCGAAAACATGGGCCTTTCGAGAAGTATACTGGGCCCAGGAATTGAGCTGGGCCCTGTTATGTTAGAAAATGGTTTTGGTCCCCAAAGAAAATTTATTGATGTATGAAAAATGAACTCCCCCTCGAACAGTGCATGAAAAAAAATGAAAAACACACACACTCTTTTTCTTTCTTTTCTGATTTTCTACACACACACACACACTCTCTTTTTCTTTCTTTTCTTGATTTTTTACACACGCACTCATTTTCTTCTGACACACACGCACACACTCTTTTTTGTCTTTTCTCCCCCTCAAAGTATTCCTCTCTCTTTTATTTTCTCCCTTTTCTCCCCCTCAACACATGCAACGCACACCACACACACACACTTTTATTTAGATCATGGAGACGACAAAATTACATCGGATCAAGGTTCAACATGCCTAACTTAGATACTAGGAACTGGAATCTCTTTTCATCCAGTACCTTAGTAAACAAGTCAGCCAGTTGAAGCTCAGTAGTTACAAAGTATAGATCAATGTCTCCTTTCTCAACATGGTCCTTGATGAAGTGATAGCGTAGGTCGATGTGCTTGGTGCGCGAGTGATGAACGGGGTTGCTGGTGATGGCTATTGCACTTTGAGAGTCACTGTAGATGGGGATGTGGTTGAATAGGAAGCCATAGTCTCTGAGTTGGGTCCTCATCCATAGGATTTGTGAACAGCAACTAGCAGCCGCAACATACTCTGCCTCGGCTGTAGAAGTGGACACACAGTTCTGCTTCTTGGAGGACCAGCAGACTAGTTTTTCTCCCAGAAATTGAGCACCACCGGAGCTTGAGTGAAATTGAGAATTTCTGTCTGAACCTTGATAGCGGCAGAGGGAGGAAAATACTCCTGCATAAATGCCTGATGAAGCTTCTCCCATGTTTCAAAGTGCCCGTTTGGAAAGCTACGGAGCCACCGTGAAGCTTTGTCTTTCAACGAGAATGGAAATAAAGTCAACCTGACTGCTTCGCTGGACACTCCATTATATTTGAACGTGGCACAAGTCTGAATAAAGCTCTCAATATGCTCCATTGGATCTTCATGAGTGTATCCACAGAATGGATTATTAGCAAGCATCTGAATCATGGCCAGCTTGATTTCAAAATTGTTGGCCTAAATGGTGGGTGCCCCAATGCTATTTCTCGCCACATAATTAGGCATCAACGTCTCCAGAGTTGTCTGATCGGCCATTTTCTCCAAGTGTTCTAGCAATCGCCTTTTAGCTCTTCCTCGGAATAAGCGTTTAGGATTAGAATACCCTTCAAATAGATCTTGTTCCCCCGAGGAGCGAGTGCGCATACACTTGTTCCTGCAGCTTAGTTCACGTGCAAAGAACACCAAAAACAAAAACAAATAACAGAAAAAAATAGAAAGTCTCACCGACTTGCTTTTACCTATTCCACAGAAAAGTACTTAACAAACAACCGTGCCACTCCCCGGCAACGGCGCCATTTGATCCAATGTTTTTTTTGTGAAGTAAAACGTAGTTGGCTAATCCAAAGAATAACCAGACCACGAGTATCGTCTCTCAAGGAGTGGCAAAAAGGAAGTTTTTAAATACAGTCCGTGATCACAGGCTAGCACAAGTCATGGTAATCTTTCCAAATAATGATTTTGGGTGGTTTTAAAAAAAATCAAGTGCAAAAATAAATAGAGTGAAGAAACAAAATTAAAGTGATTCTAGATTTTAAAACAGGGTTCAAATTGGATGGTTCGGGTTCTGGGTGTTCTTTCGGGATTAGAATTAAGTAAATTAATTTTCAATTGTTCCTGGAAAGAAAATGAAATAAATTCTTATAGACAAGAATTAAATCAAATTTTCACAATCCTAACTTATTTCTAAGATGAGATTGCTTGTATAAGACCCAAGCTAATTTAACTCAATTTCTCATAGACAAGAATTGAATTAAATCCAAAAATTCATATATGAGGTGATCAAATTCATATAGACAATTATGATTAATCTTATACAATTTACCAGAAAATTAATTGAATTTCAAAAAACTAAATTCACACCCTTAGGAACCCATGAACCCTAGCCTCAATTCAAACCCTATGTGGAATTAGCTACTCATAATTAAAACTAACATCACAATAATATTGATAAACATGATAATGAGCTAGAAATAAAAAATGAATTATATCAAAGAAAGATGGAAAAATTCTGATATTATATTATTAGTTGGAGACAAATAAATTCGAAATTCAATCCAAAAGCTAGAACTAGTAATGTAAAAGATGAAGTTGAGGAACCTCCTTGGTTCTTTCTTGTTGCTACGGCTAATTCCAAAAGAAGAAAAGAAATACTTGTTGTGGCTAAGTGACAAGGAACAGAAAGGATTCCTCCCCTGCGACTGCTTGTAACTAAAATGAACTGAGAAGAAACCTGGTGCGGCTGCCTTTCTACGAACAGAGAAAAAAAAAGAGCTCCTACTGGCTAATTCTGAAGAGAAAGAAAATAATAGATCCCCCTTTCGTGCTGCTGCTCGTTCCAGGGGAAAAACCCCAGCTGATCCGTTTCTCTTTTTCTTTTGGGCTGCTAAAGTGGATGAAGAAACTGCTGCAGCTTTTTTTTTCTTTGGGCTGTTTGCTCTTTTTTTCTTTTCTTTTTGGGCTGCACTTAAATTTTAATACAACACTCAAATGATCCGGCCCAAATAATTCACCACAAACTTCAGTCTGTAAAATCAAAACTCTCTACACCCGCTAATAATATGCAACTTTACAATCAAATTACTCCAAATATGTCAAATTGTGTAGAAAAATACTACACTGAATACGAATGCCACCGAGACCGAAAAATAGCAAATTTTCACTCAAACCCCCCAATAGTCACTCGGTTAATTATAAAAATTAAAAAATTAACACCCAAATATGGGTGAAAAGATAGGAACGAAATGAGCCTATCAATGCTCATTGATTGGCTGTAGGAGAGGTGGCCGTTGGTGTGGCCAATGTATGGGTGCCACGTGTAGTGACCGTTGGAGGGGATGTCTATAAATACCCTCCAATTCCGAAGCCTTTCCCTCATTGTGCCTTGCTGTTATCGAATTGCTGCCAAGTTTTTTTCTAGAGAGAGAAAGTCCTGAGATTCTCCAAGTGTTCATCGTGTTCTTCAAATCTTCAAAGGTCAGATACTTTAATTTTCTTTTGTTTTCTTAATGTTTTGCTCCCTGGGGTGTAAGATCTAATATTCGTAGGAAAGTCACTTTGATCCGAAAAACCACCCTTAGGAATAGACTTAGGTGTTATGCCGTTCCCTAACGACCGTAGCGTTCCCTCCCCTATTGATTTGACGACTTCGTTGGACGAGTCGGATTGGCCTTTTGACAACGAAGGCACGTCCCACGGGGTTAATCTTCAAATAGTTGAAGCTTTTGAATTAGAGATGGAAAACACAGCTGACTATCACACCTCTGTGGATGAAGAGAGGTTGAGTGACGATGCAGGCTCCCATCCTTCAGGTGAGGACGTAGCGGACTATGCCGCTGGATTGAGAGGAGATGCTGCCGGCGATGCCTCTTCGGCTGCGGTTCCTTGCCCTCCTCCGTTGTCATCAATTCCGGGCGACGCTTCGTCCTCTGGGCGTGCGAAGAAGAAGAGGGGATCGCGTCGGCATAAGGGATTGGCCGTCGGGCTTTCCCAATTGGATTTGACTAACCTGTTCATCATTAAGCCGGAGAGTTCCCCTTGTGAGTATCAGGTAGCTCAGCTCTATGTGGCTCCTTACGGCCGGGTTAGGGCTCCCAAGCCAACAAATCACGTCTTAGATCCTCCTCCTAGTTATTTTGGTGTGTACCCGATGAGCTTCTCCAAAGGCATGAGGTTCCCGCTTCATCCCTTCGTAGTGGAATACTTGAATATGATAGGCCTCCCACCGGCCCTGTTAACCCCGAACAGCTATTCCCTCATTGTGGGATTTCTCCTTCGTTGCGACGAGTTGAAAATTGAGCTGACGACGACCTTATTCACTAATCTCTATCGGATTGGCCGAGGGAGCCATGAGAACTGTGCCGGCTATGCCGCTCTTCAACAACTTCCAAAGAAGAGGTCCTTCATAGACCTTCCTTCGTCCATTCATGGGTGGAAAGGTAAGTTTGTCTTTGTGAAGTTGGCCGATGGCGTCTTTTTCCCTTCCCAAGGTCACTTTGGGATTTTCTTCTTCCACGAACCGCCGAAGAGCGCAGTGATTGATGCCCAAGTGGATGCTTTTCTGAAGGGTGGGCCGTGGAGTGTTGATAAATATATCACCGAGTTTAAGATGGCTGCTCTTGGGATGATGCGGTAATACATACTGGGTGACCCTGATTGTGGATTGTGGCCGAAGATGTTCGGCTATTATGAGCAGGCCGAAGGGCCCTATCTCGGTTTCCCAGCCGATGCCGAAGGTCGATTACTTTTCTTTGAGTCTTAGTCTGATTTGTTTTGTCCATTTCTAATCCTTTGCTAGTTTCACATCTGCAGACTTCACCATGAGCCGCAAATTGTTCATGACTCAGGCTAAAAAGATGGTGGATAAAGAGATGCAGGCTGCTCAGTAGGCTGAAGCGTCTAAAAGCTTGGCCGACGGCGTGAAGGACAAGGCCGAGGCGGCGAAGAAACCGTCGGTGAAGAGAAAGAAGAAGCCGGAGGGCCAGCAGACTTTGGTCGAAGCGGGATTGAAGTCGGCCCAAGGGGCCAAGAAGGCGAAGCAGAACCCTTCCTCTGGAGGTGGTGCTTCGGCCGTTGTACAGGCTGCGGCCCAAGAAGAGCACCTTCCTGACGTCCAGGTGATTGAGGACTTGACTCTGAATGCGGCGTCGGCTGCCCTCGTCCCTACGTCTCTCAATTCTGGGAAAACTGTCCAGGCAAGCACCCGCACCGGCCGCGACTTGGCCTCCGGCTTGTATGAGGTGACGGTCAGGTACCCGATGAAGGGCGGCTTATTCAATGAGAAAGTCTCTGGCCATGACGTGCTGTTCCAGCCCATTCCTGATGAGGATCGGGCGTACCTTCGTCGGCAGGGTAAAGAAGTGCGCCTCTTCGATGGTGGACTGGACTACGTCGTCCAAGTAAGTGTTTGTCTTTGTACATAATGATTTTTCTTGTCTCTTTGCTGACTTTGTTTTTCCTTTACAGGGTGCCTTGATGTTGATGGAGCAGCATCGCCGGCAAGAGGAAGAAATTGCTCGTTTGCAGGAGGCTGAGAAGAAAGCTGCCTCGGCCGATGAGGCTCTGGCCTCCCTGGAGCACCTCCGGTCTGAGTTTGGCTCCCTCAAAGAGAGGGCCGATGCGGTCGAGAAAAGGGCCTTTGCCGCCGAGGCCAAGTTAGAGGACGAGGAGGCTGCGCGCCGTTTGGCCGAGGAGAAAGCGAAGAAGGCCGAGGAGCTGAAGGTCGAAGCTGAGAAAACCGCCGAGAAGGCTGTAGATCTATTCATGGCCGAGGGGTGGAAGGTCGATGATCATCGCCAGTTCTGCTTTAAGGTGGTGGTTGATCGCTTTCAAGCCTGGAAGCAAGAGGATCTGGCCGGCCAGGCTTTTTGGAAGCAAGAGATAGAGGTCTTCTATGACCTCGGTCAGCGTCGTATGCAGATGTTGGTCTACCGGAGGCTCCGCCGACACGTAAAGAACTTGAAGCCAAAGGGTATCGGCCTTCCCCGACTGATGAAGGACCTCGAGGAGGAGCTGAAGCTTCCCTTAGCCGAAAGGCAGCGCCCCATTCTCAGCTCTGAGGAGGAAGGAGAACCTTGGACTGAAAGCGACGACTATCTCTTCCAGGGTTCGGTCAACTCAAAGGCTGCCGAGGATGTTAATGATGATGCCGATAGCGGGGCTGTTGAGGGTGGCTAAGGGCAAGCTGGAGATATAGCCTAGTGACCTCATGCTCTTGTTATGTTTTTGACTTTAACGGCCATAGTGCCTTGTAAAGATGTATCGGCCGAAGCGCCCTTCTCTTGTATTTTTGCACATGATATTCTATGAAAAACATTTCCAAGTATCATTTGTCGCATCGTGTCGTCTTTAATGTATGCTTTACTTTTCTTGGATTTGTGTTCGAAAATTTGCTAAGTATTAGGATCTTGCTTTTGGGGGGTACCGACTTCCGGTTATTGAGACGTGGCGGTCCTGTGTTTAGTCGTTGCTTATGAAGACGATGCGCCTCATCGTCTCAGATGCTTGTTTTGCATAAGCAGGTTTCTGGTTATTTCCAAGAATTTTCTAAGTACCTGATGGGTTCATCCTTGCATGTTTGGGACGATGCGATCTCTCCCTAAAGTGCTTCTTTTGGGGACGATGCGCCCCTACGTCTGGGATGTGGACCCGTACAAAGTACTTGGAATTTTTCCAAGCACCAAAAACGTTGCAAGCACTTCTTCTGGGCCCGTGACGTCTTTTGTTTCGTTGTTTTGTCTATATCGTGATGTTTTCCTAGGGAGTTTTCTAAGCACCAGAAGATTTCTTGGGGATGATGCGTCTCATTATCCTAGGTGTCTTCATTTTCCCTTTAACTGTTTTATATGATTTCTCCAAGTGCTAGAATTGTGGCCTTGTATTGTTTGAGCCGAAGCGATACCTCTTGAATGTTTATCACAGGCCGTAGTGACTTATAGGGGTACTTGCTTCGTCTTCACTTTTAGAATAGTCTTTTTGTACTCGTAGTGTCTGATTTGTTCCTTGTGTGGGGCCGCTGCGGTCCCTTGGACCGCGCCTGATTCCTTAACTTGTGGTTGGGACGAAACGTGTACTTCGGGATCCTGTATGGTAATCTTGATATGTACTTAGCCAATTTGTGGCTTGGTTTGGGGATTTTATTTTGTGCTCGAGGCCGGCGAGTGCACGGTCCTTCAGCTTCCCTCTTTTTTTTTTTGGGGGGGGGGGGGGGGGGGGGGGTTGTATGGCCAAAGGGTTACTGTCCCTTTGCCCATACGCGGTAGTTTTCCGCTACGCTTTTTGCGTGTGATAAGACAAGGGGATAATCATGCCCTCGGCTTAGTGTGTCAGTGGCATCTTTTTTGGCCTTTCCACGTCTATCGGCGACAAGGGACCGAGCTAGCTAGTGTTTTGCGACGGCCGCCATTTGTGGTCCTTGAGAAATTTTACTGATGGGTGGAGTTTTTGTAGCCTCAGCCTTAATTCAGGTTTGTAGTCCTGCGGTTTCCGCGCGGACGACGCGGTATGCTTCTCTGTTTGAAGACGTCAGACCATACACACATGTCCTTCGTCCTACATATCGTCGGTCATTTTGGGTGTTTCACCGCCTGGGCCGATGCGATATTTAGGTGCGTTGTCTTTGAGCAACGGCTTGTAGGCGCGTTGTGTTTTGCAACGGCCTTTGGTGCGTTGTTTAGGGCAACGGCTTTAGGAGGCGCACCGGCCAATCCTGGGCGTTTCGCCGCTTTGGCCGATGCGATATTTAGGTGCGTTGTCTTTGAGCAACGGCTTGTAGGCGCGTTGTGTTTTGCAACAGCCTTTGGTGCGTTGTTTGGGGTAACGGCTTTAGGCAGCACATCTGCCAATCCTGGGCGTT